CAAATTCAGATTTGTCATACAATATATCATACAATATGCTTCCGTTATTCACTAAGGAAATATTATAATCCTTTCCACTGTAAAAACAGATTATAACCAAGTTGGCCAGTCACCGTTAAAACATATATTCTCAAATTATTTCCTTACTATAAACACAGGAATTAAATAACTGAAATTCCCAAATCTCAAAGACAGTTTTTAATATCCCAACACAGGCATTTTGCTATCCAGGGGAGCATTATTGTTTTGATTAACTGATCAGTCAGGTGTACTTGTTTCCGCTTCAAGTTGGCAACTTTCTCTAAAATTTTGTAATCTCCAGGAAAACTGAGTGAAAACACGATTTAAATTCCCAATGAGTCATTCTGAATGCAATCTCAACTGTAGCACCTACATGTTGTTACATAGGGTCCAGTCTTTGTGTACTTCAAGTGCTGTTTTCATAAGATGTTTTTCATGGAGTGCTTTGTAGATATCAATTTCCTCAAGTTGTTCTCAATTTTCTGTAGCTTTGATCAAGATTAACTATTGTAGGCACAACTAGTGATATGCAATCTCACAAGAAAGTTCTCACCCACAATGCATTGAGAAGGTCATATGAATTAAGTTGACCAACCAGCATTGGTTATTCTTCACCCAATTGAAAGAAGTACATTGTGTAGACCAATCCAGTATAATGCAAAATCTAAATCCAATTTAATTTTTTGATAATTTATGTCATCATACATCATTCAAAGCAGCCTAGATATAAGCTCCAAATCCATTTCATGAATATCACACACTGGTTCAGTAGGTACTTTGGCAAGACGACCTCCTGCACACTGAAATGTCCACAAACTTAGTATGCCATATAATGTGTCATGACAGGACTTACAACAAGAAAATCCCTAAGATGACGAAAAAGTTACAAAAATGTGGTAACAACTCAATCTATTTTCTTTGAAGATTAAGAACTGTAGCCCATTTGTATAGGTCTCAGTTTGCTAAGTAGTCATCCTAGAAAAGAAAACATGTCCGCTCATCTCTCCTAATCCTTCTATAAAGTTCAGTAAGTGTAAATAAATCCTTCTATGTATTTGAGTAAATCCAGAATTTACTCCATGCATATACTGTACTTACAAGTCTAGGCTCATAATTCAAACTTTTTTACCATAAGTTATCGTTCAATTTTGCATTTCCTCAGATTCCACAATGAAATCAAACCTCATATGGTTCAGCCTGACTTTTCATCACTGTCATGTCAAATGACTTCTAACCAGCTGGCTTTTCATGCATATGTATTCAGGCAATATCTTCTGAATAAATCAAACAATTTCATGACATCCAATTTCCAGTTTGAATAAAAATACCTATGACCTGATGAACAAAACAAAATATTTCCAACATTCCCATCTGCTGAACTTCTAACCTTTTTTGGACCTTCACACAAAATTGTACATTTACTAAAAATACAAATTAAACTCATTCGCAAATTATAAATTGTTTTTATGGAAAATTGGACAGGGATTTGTTAATTTACACCTGGCCTTCAGTCAACCCAAATGTTTAATGTCATGATGTTATGTTTTCAAACCAGAAATAAAATGTAAAATATTGGAATGAGCAAGAAGTTAAAACAATATTGGATATAATCAAAACTCTAAAATATGTAAAAAGCGAGAAAATAAGAATATTTTATTCATTTTAGAAAGAAATAGAATGAAATAAACATGGCCAGATTTATATTTTGAGTTGAGGCAGGGTCTTAATTACAGATTGAAGTCACTTTGGCCTATAATTAGTAAAATTTGGCAATTATTTCCATTTAAAGGGATACTTTCAAAACAATTCATCATGAACCCAAACCTATTTGGCTGTGACTGCCTTCAAATACATGAGAAATAGGAAAAGAGGTGTTATATAATTAAATATAAGGAAAATATTTAGAAGGGAATAAAAGGTAGATAAAATATTTCTATGTTTATTTTTGAATGATGTTCAAATATCATGCAAACCCTTTAACAAATTTATTCCACATTTTTGGTGAAATACCATATAATTATAGTAAACGTACATACATATAAATGGTATGCAAACAACATTCAACAAATATTTACTTATCATGGATCATGTTTTTGAAAGTTTTGATGTACTGGCCCCCCATGCATTTTAATAATCAACCACTACACAAAACAGTAACCTGTCACAAACTTTAACAAGATATATTTGTATAAATGGCACGTTGGAAGCAATTAATGAGACATTAAATTAGATATGATATTACACTAATTGATACCATCCAATCACATATGTCATACTTATAGGCAAGTTGTAAAGGAGACAATTAATATGTTTGGGAAAGACAATACTTATCTTAAAGATGAAAAATTAAATTAAATAACTATGACATCATTAGGTATTTTAAAATAACTTTCAAATGAAGAATTTTGGCTTTTTGATGGTGGTTCAATTTTAGATTTTAAAGATGCTATACTGTCACCCATTGCATTAATTATGTCATTCTGAACACTAACTGCTGACATCTGGAACTGACATCAATTCTGTAACATCCTGGCTCATTTCAATATTGTATTTTATCAATGAAACTATGTGAATATTTAAAAAAATTATAACAGTTGGGCAGACAGTTATTCAATAATTATCAAAATATTGAATTAATTCATTTCAGATGATTTAACATTTGTGTAAAAGTGATATTATGTTTGTGTTTCTGGTGTCACATTAGTTAAGCCTAAATTGGCTGCTGTCATGTATTGAATGAACTCATCATAATATGTACTGGCAGTGAGAGTTCATTAAGTTAAATGCTGATGCCTAAAACTTCAATGTTTGATGTTAACTCTTTCTAATATCAAGCTAAACTGAAAATAAATCATCGTGGAATTCTTTTTTTTTCTTTTTCTTTCTCTTCAGAATTTCCAAATCATGAATGCTGCAAAGATGGGCCCTCACATTAACAAGAAGTATTTAAAAATTATTAATGTATACTCATGCACTACCTTGTAGTCATATGCAGAAATGGAACATCTCTATAAGTAGAACACCTATAAAGTGAACACCTCCAAGTAGAACACTTTTTAGAGGTACCAAAGGTGTTCCACTAAGACAGGTTTTACTGTACTTCATTATGCCTGTGTTAAAACATATACATTCGGTATACATATTACAGATACATACAAGAAAGGAAGTAACTCTGTATGAATTGAATCAACAACATTATTTGTTAAACTGGCCTCTAATTATACTTTGACATATGAAACCAATTGCTAATCAAACCCAACTACAACATATTTTTAATTAACAACTCAAATAAAAGAAGACAACACAACAAAATTCTCACCCAGTTTTAACTGATATTGTATTATGATAGTCTAAAGGTTAATGGCCCTCTTAATGAAAGTACAATTTCCCATTGTTTCAAAAAATCAAGCAGATGGAAATTAGAGATTAATTTCAAGTGTAATTCTCAGAGGTCATTATGCATGACAAAGGGTATTTAAATGCTATTTACCAAGTCCAATGTCAATGGTGAAGCTCATATATCAATTACCCAAATGCGAGTAGGTAGTTACCAGTTTCACCACCAGGTGGCTGATTCGGGTCAATTAACATGGCAGGTATATAAGAAAGTTCCCTTAAACTTGAATATTATCAATTTAAGTGGCTCAATTTTCATATAACCCTTATGTGTCTGACACTTATACTAATGAAAATATGTCCAGTAAAGCAAAATATTATCTGTCCACTAAAAGAAAAGATATTTCATTTTTTGTGATTTTATAGCATGGGGTCTATGGGGAATCTCCCCGAGCTAGAAGTCCCATTTTCAAAGAAAATTAATTTTTCAAAGTTGATAAACACTTTTTAAAACCACATTTCTAGATGTAATTTTACATGTAGATTTCGAATATGATATTACTTTGATTGAATTTTTAATGACGTTAATCAAGGTTATTTCTACTCGCATCTGGGTTATTGAAGGACATTATACTCTTTCCTCACATACCAGGGACTCTATACAATATTTTGCTTTTAAAAAATAAGGATGTTTTAAAGGTAACATACTTCCTCACACAAGACCATGGTCTTATAAATGGCTACTTATGGCTAAACAGTAAAAGTAGTCATCAAAAATGATCAAATGTTTATAAAAAGCTTTTGTTAGATTTTCAAGAGTTTCAAATCATGTTATCCACAATTTATCACCTTATCCCCAGTTTTAAATTTTTAGGGAGAGAGGTTTCTTCTCCCTCATCCCTTTCTTGACACTCAATAAAAATCTAGTGGATCCATCATTGGTGCTTGTAGCACTATTGTTGAGATCACCATATTGCTAAATTCACATGATAACTCAACCCAATGTATGTTTGAACTAAACTCAAAACTCTATAAACCACAGCTAAAACAATAAACGTTCCAACAACAAAGGCACTTAGAGTTAAAAACCTAATCCTATCTCACCCTAAAAACAACACTTACACTTTCAAATAGTTCTAACACACCTCCAATGCTCTCAAACAATAACAAGATAAAATCTTTGTTTTGATTACTAAAATGATTCACCTTTGTTTACCTATATGGTATCTTTACTATCATATTGTCAGAATGATCTATTAAGGAAAGAATGAGGACATTGGGTAAAGAGGTACTTCCTACATTACATACCACTGCACTTGACTTTAAAATACTTTAAAATATTCACAAAGATTTCCACATGAAGTATTTAACAAACTTGAAAACTACTGATGGATTCATTATATAATACATTGTTATACCATTCAGAGATACCATTTCACACCTTTCCCATCTTTGTAAAAACAGAATTGACACATGTCTAATCTGAACACTGTTCAATGTGAATGCTTTTAAATCTTCCATGTCAAAGAAACTTGAAATGTGAACACCTGCCAACCCAAACACTTTTGTTTATTCTTAATGGTGTTCAGATTAAACAAGTTTTACTGTAGTCTACAAGACAATGATGAGCTTTCACTACTTACTTGGTGACTTGTTCATAGAAGCCAGAAGATGTTGTCGAAGTTGATGTCTGTGTGTTGCTACGGCTACTATCAGCACTTTTAGTCTCGTATCCACTCCCCGCTGTCTGGTTGGATAAGTTCTAGGAAAAATTGTGATGTAATAATATGAATTTCTCTAAATTAATGGATAGTTAAATACATAGTATTTTTTGAAGGGGAGGGGTGGTTGAATTCAAATCCATGTACTAGAAATATCAAAAGTTCTCTATTTTTAAATTTGATTTTAGATTTAATATTTTCAAAATATTTCCGGGGGCATGAAAATTTTAATTATGCAAAACATTTCTGTCCTCTAGCAATTAATTATTTTGAAATAAAATTGCATGGTCACTGACTCCAACTGTATAGCTGACTTATAAGGTTAAATTCGCTCATCAATTTTTCTTATTTGATATGCATTAGAATGTTTTAATATTATGATTTGTTTTGATTTGTTGATTGTTATGGTAATTCAAATCATTTTTAATTAACCTGTTCAAAGGAATTCACTCATTCTCATCTATAATATTTAATAAATCAATTTAATGCATACTTGATCAGGATAAGCAATCATTAAACAAATCCCAAATTCATAAGAACACATTCACAGTCTATAAAATCACAATCTTGGATTAAAATGTTTCAACAGAAAAAGGCAGAATAATTTCAAGTTATTTGAATCAGAAGTTTCAATTTTGAGTGACATTGCGTTCTCAAAGAAAATATTTTTATGTAAACGTTAAATAGATGGCATACAAGCATGCACGATTTTGGTACATTCCAAGCAGTACCAGTGGGTTTATAAAAGTTGTAATAAAGTCAATGTTATATGAGGTTAACAGAATCCAGTTCTCTTACTATCTCAAATGTTTTTACATCTAAATGTTTCTAGGTTAAGTTGATTTGATAAACATCCAGCTATATCTATTACAAAGTTGATGTTATTTTAGTATCTTGAGCATAGAAATATGGTGTAACATTTTTGGGGAATCAGTTTATCAAATGTGTGGGGTTGCTTTTCAGCTGCCTTATTCTTTTTAGATTATTGACAGAAAAATAAACCAATTGCAAAAGTCTGCCCCCCCCCATCCATTAAAATGTAAAGTCCCATTTTCTTAGCTTTGAGAATAAGTTGCACCACAAAATACAGCATTAAAGTTGATCAGCTACAATTCAACTTCAGCTACACTATTAATTGGTTTGATAATTTATAGCATGATACACACTTCAAACACCACTTTCTATATTTAAAATACAAATGCAGATATTAACTGATAAGAGACATATTTCTAAGTATTTCAATAACGATATAATTTCTTGATTTGAATAATCAATTTTGAATTCTTATCAACATAATTAATTGTTGTTTCATGATTTATGTAGAGTATGTTAAAATTAATATTAATAATTTAAGGGAGGGAGTAGTAAAAATGAAGAATCAAAAGAATATAACTGTACATGCAAACCAACCCAAAATGACCATATGAATCCTAAATGCTGGGAATCATGGTTCTCCACACACTGTAGGCTCTTATATACCGTGAAAATGCAATGCAGCGAGGTATTTTGCAATGCAAACAAGGGCAATATAGTGACATTGCATGGCTATGATAAATGGCAATACAGTGCATGACTATATGATGACAATGCTGTATTGATAAAAACTGCACAATGATATATGCATGGCATTACCATATGACATATGACAATGCAGTGTAAAACACATGACAATGTAGTGCATGACACATGACTAACCATATGACACATGGCAATGCAGTATGACACATGACAGTGTAGCGCATGACCGTGACATGTGAAAATACAGTGCATGACCATATGCCATGTGAAAATGCAGTTCTAGACCATGTGCCACTTGACTGCAGTGCATAACCATTTGGTGCAGGACAATACAGTGCATGGCCATATTGTGGAGCATGCAATGTACAAGCAGTGTGACCCAGGTATAAAAGGAAGAGGTTTGGAACTGAACAAAAACAGACCAGACCCAAATCAAAGTACAAGAAAAATTATTTCAAAATCAATTTATTTCAATGTGTGTCTTAGGAAAATATTCAACTTCAAGCTTGGATAGTCTGATAAAGAAACTGCCTTTTGCACCCTCCCCTGAGTTACAAAATGAAGTAATATACAAAATCCTTAGACACACACATCTTGTTGTTATTGGTTGTATAATTGTAACCATGCCAACCATGTAGACACCTCAAGACCAATATGTTTGATAACTTCTCAAACATTATTATGTCGTGAAATGTTTGAATTTACATGAGAAAGTGTTCAAAGAGTATTGGCATCTCAACATTTTAGCTTGAAATGACATTGTAAAATGGTAACAATTTTCTCAACTGAATATGCTTAATATGTTGAGCACTACCATTTAAAACTTAGTGGCACAATACAACCATGTGTGACTGACTCAATGCAAAATATTGAAAATATGTTAAAAACTGCACAAACAGAAAGAAATTGGAATATCATAATTTGTACTACTTTGAACAAAATATGTACACTTGTTTCTGTGTTTTTCTGTGCCATTTTTGTGATGATAAAGAAGATAAATATTAGCATTTTATATCTTTCCCAGTTTAATTGATGGGAAAAACTGTTTCTCCTATTGTGTTGTGCCAAAAAGTAAGTTAGTAAGTAACCTTGCAAGATTTCATATTTATGAATTTTTATTTTTTCAGAAAAGAAAACAAAGAAAAGATGGAAATTTGACCACATTTTTCGCAACCATTTAGTTGTATTTTTGATGGTGATATTTTGAAACAACAAAATCTTGCATGGAATCTTGCGAAGGTTGAGATAGAGCAGATGCCTTAATTATAGCAAACCTGTTGTCGCCTTTGTTTGGGGGTGAGCTTATTACTAGTCTTGCGAAACGCGGGATGGAGTACCTGTCCACGAGGATCCCAAGTAGGTGGAGCCGGGCTCCGCTCGCCACTTGATGTCGAAGATATACTACTCTGTCTGGAATCTTGTGATGTGGATGATGGACGCTTTTGATGCTCTGGGAGAGGGTAGGTCTGGTTTAGCGATGGTCTCGAGGTCTTTTCTTTCAAAGGACCAGGGCTTGATGGGTCAGCTATAGTGTTTAATAGATCTGACTCATACTGATCAGAAAGTGGGCGTGTCCCTGGTGGTAGGGACAATGATTTTGCTGATTGGTCAGTTTTCATTGGGGATGGTAATCTCTCTCTAGGGTGATTCCCGAGAGAGCTCAGGTCTGCCTCTGAATGGTTTCCGCTCAATCGTTTCCCGGTTTTATTCTCATAGAATTGCCATAAAGCATTCTGCTGAGATTTCTTTGTATCAAGATCAGACGACTTGACATCTTTTCTGGAAGGGGAAACTTCCGTTTGACCATCAACAAACGGAACTTTTCGAATGGTCTCATCAGGATCAATAGTGAATGGAACTTTCCGAATTGTTTCATCTGGGTCAGGTATTGATTCTTTCTGCCTCTGGGGCAATGGTTTTCTTATCATAGAGTCATCAGTAGTCGACAGTTGTTTATAATCCACATAATTTTGGCGATTTTTCTTTTTATGGGTCAACCGATCCCCAAATGAGTTACTTCTTGGACGGTTGCCATTCTTGTTACGTTTATCTATGTCTTGTGGTTCAGGAGGGAGTGGGCGGTCAATTGGAAGCTCCTTCATACGATCCTTGATTGGTCGAAACTGTTCCGATGATGTTCGTTTAATCTGAGGCTTGGACAACCCAGGAAAGAATCGTCGTAACCCACTTTGTTTATCAGGTGAAGCTGGCTCTCTTGGCGATTTCAATTTCTCTTTTGATTTTTTCTTGCCGTTTTTAGTTTCGGAGACACTCGCTAAAGGAGTTGGTTTATATGTGGTGTTTTGGCTTGACAATACCCTGGCATCAGACATTGATTGTGAGCGACCATGCATCTCAAGAGACTGGTGATGATGATCAACATTCCACGGCTGATTGGTTGAATCTCCTGCTTCAACTGGTGCAGTCTTTCCATTATCGTAAGCATTATATGCTTTCTTGAACGATGAATTACGAGTAACTGTAACTCCATGATCATAAGATGTAGAATTTTTATGTATTTGTGATTTTTCATCTTTGGGTTCAAGGGATCTTGATTGTTGGGTATGCTGTTGCCATGACAATGGCTGCTCATAATCTGACGCAGATTTTGACTTGATTTTTGGTTGTACCATTTCGACAGGGTTTTCCACAGTTTGAGATTTTGGTCTCTCATTCTGACTGGTCCCAGAATTTGGTCTACCATTTTGACTGGACCCTGATTTAGGCCTCTCCTTTTGCCCAGCCTGATTTCGATAAATATCTGGGTAAAATTCTGCAGATAATTTTCTTAACAATGGAGCTTGACTGTCAGTGTATTTATGATATGGAATCAGTAAGTTTGGACCCGCCTCCGAAACTTTAGGTGAAGGGTCTGATTTTTCATTCTTTGGCAAAACCATGGGTTCTGGGACTTGACTCCCAATCTTTTCCAAGCTCCCCACATTTTGGTAATCCTGGGCCGTTGCAATATTCTCATAATCCATGTATTTATAAATATTTGTCCTCCTTACATCCTGTCCTCGCGGGCTGCTGTAGTATTTACTAGCAAAAGCAGGGGTGGTTGAAGTGTCAAGAATCTTTGATGGTAGATTAGGGTGTTGAAATTTCTCTCCGGATTTTGAGTAATTTGAACTAGAATTTTCAGGTTGAGTTTTTGACAGGATATTGTCCATTGGGACATAGTCATTATGTATGTCATCTGTTGATGGATTAGGTTGAGATCGCTCCAAACTAGACTGCCTCCCATAAGCAGTCTCAATTGACTTCCTCTCTGCACTAGATTGTCTCGCATATTTAGAGATGTCAGACTTCTGATCAGGAATTCCTGATCGATAAGCATCCATACTATCTGATCTGCGCTCAGATTTTGATCTTTCAAATTGTCCAGAATAATCAGGATAATCCGACCATCTCTCAGATTTAGAACGCTCAAATTTATTATTGTCTGGAATGTATTGTTTCGAGTCCATCTGTTGTGGCCTCATTTTTGGATCAGCAATGTCTAAATCTGTTTGCTTGTAATTGGCCTGTCTTTCCACACTGTATAATCTATCAGAATCCTTATAGCGATATTTATCAGGATTAACTGTTCTCCCTGGTGCTTTATCGTAGCTAAATCCTTTGCTTGTAGATCCTTCTGTATTACTAGGTGGTGATTGCCCAACTGCTTTATCAATAAAACGATTGTTTTCATTTTCAGTCACAGTGCCACCTATTGGTGACATTCCAACTGCTTTATCTATGAACTTTTTATTATGTGGAGGGCTTTGGTCTACTTGAACCTCAATTTTACCTAATGCTTGGTCAGATTCATATTTGTTGAGCTGTCTTGTGGCCTCCTGTTGTTTAACATCAGTCTGAGTGCTGGTATTATAATATGGAGTATTTTTTACGATATAAGTTCCACCTGGTGGATCAGGGGTATTCCCAAGATAACAATAATTGTCTGTCTTATTGGATTTCTCCGCCATCTTTGATTTGTCAGAATGAGGCTGACTTGAGGGAATCATGGGTATTGTGCTGGTTATTGGAGTTGATGTAGCCATGGAGTAGGGCTTATGGGTAGGACTTTCATTGGTTTTAGCTGTTGAATAGGGCTTATGGGTAGGACTCTCAGCATCCAGTTGTTGCTGTAGTGACTCAGTATAATGCTGAAGGAGATCTTGAATATTGTCACTGTCATCTGCTGCTTTAGTTGGCGATGTCTGCTGACTTCCAATTTGCATCCCTGGATTTAATTGGCCCGTTTGTGAAATTGGAATGTCCCGTTCAGGGGGTGAAGGGACGGAATAATCTTTATCTCCAAATCCCTTGCCATTGTGATCATATTTGGGCATTAGATAGCCAGGCTCAGTCTTATAGAACTTATCCAAGTCTAATCCATCTTTGGCAGAATCACTGGGGTATGTAGAACCCAACTTATCTACACTTTCCCGTCCTCGAAAAACTTTGGCAACTTTCGCTTCATGATATTGGAAATTGGGTGATTTTGGACTTTTCAACTCATTATCAGATAGTTTCCGATCAGCAAGGGGACTATTTTTCTCAGTCCATGTTCTTAACTTTGGTTGGAATGCCTGGTAGGGTGAAGTTGGGGTTCTAGATTGAGAAGGAACTTGCGCCATTTTCGGTTTACTGGGGAATTCATTGGCAGTATCGCTGTTTTCGGCCCAAGATGACGCCCTACTATTGATTGTGTCACTGAACTCCCCCCCAGGTTGCCCAGATCCCGCCTCGGGCCAAGATGGCATTTTCTCATGACCTGGTTGATTAATTTTACTATATTTAAGACTGGAGGCATCTCTAACTGGTGGAGCTGGAGGTGAAGAAGGGGGACCAGGCAATGGGGACGTGTAATTTAAGTAGCTGGGACGGGATGGTATAACTGGCGGAGATGCTTCTTTATTTGCCAGATTGGGACTAGAAAGACTTTGGTTTACAACGACACCAGGGTTAAGATTTGTATTAACAGTAAGAGGAGATTGATAATGAATTCCTGGTTGGTATTTGTACAAGTCCCCACTCGATCCAAAATGACTGCCATGTGATGACTCATCACCTTGATGGTGGGGCCACCTATTGTCCACTTGTTTAGGGCTAAAATTCAATCCAGATGTTGACGAAAGTTTATCATACACTCCACTTTTCTTACGCCTTGGAGGCGGTACTGGTTGTGGACTGTCTAAATTCTCTTGGAAATTTGGCGTTGATTGCGACCCCGACATTCCGTGCCATGTGTTGCTCAAATCAGGAGGGGGTTTCTCGTAACTGTCCCCTGCGTTAGCCATTGATGTCTCTATTTGGTAATAGTTGATATAATCTCTATGTTGACCACTGGGATTGTTGCCTTGAGAAGCTAGACTTTGATGAAATGAATTTTGATTTTTACGTTCCATATTCATATTTACTCCATTGTTCTCCCGATTCTGCGACTCCTGCACAAGTTCCAAACGACGTCTTTCTAAGTCCTTCGTATGATGCCAGGATATTGGACGCTCTCGCAGTTTTCTTGGACCAATGCTGAAAATAAACAAATGTGGTTATCAATATCACCATATAATATTTGATCATGATGTTTACACAGTTCATTTCATATAAAAACATTTCACTCAAAAGCACTTTTCACTTGGGAGCTTGGGAGTCTGATCATACTCATTGCTAATTTGAAGACTCATTTACTCTATTTTATCACAGCATCATAAATATATCAAGTACTACTGACCTACTAATATCATAAGTACCATAAAATTTATGAAGTGTGCTCTAATTTGCCAAGTTCAAGTTATACTCCTATAAGTTTTAATCTTGGATTAAAATGTCTGTTTTCATTTCATCTAAGTTGTAAGATCCTATCCTTAAAACCCAATGCCTAATCCACTGCTTTAGATTTTGTGATCATGCATCCTTTCACTGCCTACATGTTCATCGTGATTTCAAATCATTCTTTACCTTCAATGTGGTTTGCTTGCAGTAAGTTCAACTGATATTCTCAAATATAGCTCGATCTTAAATGTGGCATTAATTGACTCAGATTTCTAGAACTGAAAAACTGTTTATAAACTTTTCCAATGATATGGTAAACTACAACTTAGTTGTTATCCATCTGTGTGTTTTATGAACTCAAGAGGCTCATGTAGAAAAGTGCGAAAATAAAGTAGAAAAGCATGAAATCAGCAAGGAATATTGTAAAGCATTTTGTATAGACTTTAAATTAAATCAATCTTTCAAAATATGAGGCATTTTAATCAAATTTAAGAGATATAATAGAGTGAATAAATATGAGAAGACAGAGATTTCAAGCATCAGAAGTCAAGGATGGGAATATTGTAGCAATGAGTTGAAATGATAACAGACATGACTTGGGAATAACTTAACAGAGATCATCAGGAGTTCATATATGCAGAAAAGAAAACAAACAAGCACAAAATCAATGCCCTAAAGAACCTCTCAGACAATGATGCTGAAACATGGCGCCTGACCACCCCATTCATTTAGAATAGAAATAGCAACGGAATATGCACATGCTAATATACCAAATGATACAATACAGAAATGGGGGGATGGAATTCAAAACAGTGTATTAAAAACTGTGCTCTTGACTGGTATTTTACCTTCAAGAACATTGTCTTTCATTATGCTGCCAACATCCTCTAGTATTTTGCACTCAAAAGGCATACCCCGCAAGTGTACCTGCCTTATGAAATACGCCGAGGAAGTAAGTGAATTATCAGACACAGAATCTTTTAAAGCAGCAAAATGAAATATGAGTGTATAATTAGAAATTCTGAAGTGTCTCAAATGTTGTGAAGTATCCATATCCCACCCCCACCCTTCAATTAACATCCTCTATAACAAGATGATGGACAAACCATTCCTCAACAATCACTTAAAATATATCATTGAGTTACGTTTTAATGAGCTTCATAGTAAACCAAACACCTCAAAGCCATAGAGTTTACATTCTCCCTTCTATTCAAATCATTTATTTTTTCTTTTTATCCTGGACATTTCTCTCTAAATTTTAAATAAAATATCAGATTCTTTGCATTTTTGTACATTTTAGAGTTTTGGCTCCTTGTCTAGATATTTATTCCTTGTTTATTCCTCTCTTATCCACTTTAAATTGCCTTTAAAGCATGATTCTGGTGACATTTTACAAGTGAGTGTGAAAACTACACCAGGCACAAGGGACTTCTGGTTGTGTGTAACAAATAATGATGTCATGTTGCGAAATAATTGATACTTGACTTTTGTGGGAATTTACTTTTTGTAATTTGGTAATTTTAAATGTCAGAAAATGACACTCTGTTAATTGTTTATCAAAAAGCATATGGTTCAGATAAAAAAGTAGTTCTGTGGGTTTTCTGGTGGTCATCCCAAAAAGTGGTTGTTTACATGATATGTCAATGGAGGTTTGTAAAAAACTTGCTAGAAATGTCATGCTTAACACAGTTTACATGCTATTTTCCTAATCAAAACCATATACCATCCCCCAACCCCCTAACCAATAATAGGGAGACAGGGTTGGTCGAAGTGATTCTTATAAAACAGGAAAACATGGTTCATTATATGCATTTTTTATAAAGCATATTTTTGGTCAAATATGAGCATTCCTGCTTTGAAGTCAAAATGTCAATGTACTTTTATAGTTATATCGCCTATTATGTAATAATAGTTATAATTTTTCATAAAGATCATACTTTAAATTATCACTAAAGGATAATTGAAAGTATGTCTGTAAAGAGTGCAACATACCAATATACTAGACATGACAGGTGCTTATTTGCTCATTGGTAAATTATAAGGAATCACAAAAATGATCCCTTAATATTTACTGAGGCATAGCAACAATATAAACTAGTTCCTCGAATTTGTCTAGACAACCCCATTCTAGATACCTTTTCTACCCAATTTCTCATCTCAGAATGGTATCATTGCTCTGTATAATATAGTGTCTTCTGTTTGTTTACTTTATTCCTTGCTGATTTTAGTTTATTTTCCATTTGAATACATGACCACCAAAACATATTTTTGACCAACATGTTTTTGTCCCAATTCTAACTCCCAAATATGTCAAGCATCTAATCTTACCATGTCTCATATGTTAACCTACATTATTATAATGTAAGAACATGAACAAAATATTTTTGATATGGCATGGCTTCAAAGTTCAAATAATATTTTGGCATGTATATTTTAAAAATATCTGTACGAGACACAAAACATGAATGAAAACTTCTCATATTTCATAACAATTAGTGCTTACTTCATTTCTTGCAGATTTTTTCACATTATTTGATTTCCTTCTCTGAAAGATGGTCAACATTTCCTCAATTTGAATCAACATATTCCTAATGCAGTTTCACAGTAGTCTTAGGTTGCATTGCATGAACAATGCGACATGACCAACCATGAACAATGATACATGGCTTTATCAAAAATGATGCACAGCTTTATCAACAATGATGCATGGCTTTATCAAAAATGATGCATGGCTTTATCAACAATGATGCATGGCTTTATCAACAATGATGCATGGCTTTATCAACAATGATGCACAGCTTTATCAACAATGATGCATGGCTTTATCAGCAATGTTGCATGGCTATGCATGAACTCCGCTACATGACCAACAATGAACAATGATGCATGGCTTTATCAACAATGATGCATGGCTTTATCAACAATGATGCATGGCTTTATCAGCAATGATGCACAGCTTTATCAACAATGATGTATGGCTTTATCAAAAATGATGCATGGCTTTATCAACAATGATGCATGGCTTTATCAACAAGGGTGCATGGCTTTATCAACAATGATGCATGGCTTTATCAGCAATGATGCATGGCTTTATCAACAATGATGCATGGCTTTATCAACAATGACTACATGACAATCTAGGTCTAGATTTGAAAAGAAAGTATGGAAAACATGCTTCGTTATCATACAAAATACAGATTCATTTACTCCATCCTTTTAACTTCAATGCTAGCTTGCAAAAGTTACTCTTGATTTTATTTCAATACAATCACCACAATTAAATTGAATTTCTCGACTACTTGAGTCCAGTCATTTTACCTGTTGGCAAAACAACATAATGTATTTAAGTAGATGTTTCAGTTCATCTGCAAATAAGCAGTCTTATGCACAGCCCCATGAAGGAATGATATGAGATAAGGCATCAAGATGAAAAATGGCAACCACGGGCCATTTGTTACAGACACTGAACACCGACCATCAACACAAAAACTTGTGTTGTGGAGACCTAACAAAGTTGAGGCACATATTGTGGCCATTCTTTCAACTGTAGTCAAATCATTTAAATTTGACATAGATTGGCACTAGTGTTTTATTTTCAAAACTGTGATTAGAATATATTTCTGTACATGCTGATTTCACAGCATTCCTTTCTATATCATGAACAAATTATCTAATTTCTAGATTTTGTGTACTGTTTAGTTTATTGGCTACATCAGATTGTAGTTTATTCCTTGCTGTTTTGACAATTGTGCAAAATATCTTGCATTATAAAATTGAACACCCCTCATTTTTGATTACAAGCACCCTTGAATAATCAATGTTACTTTAAACCCCTCAATGTAAAACTGAAAACACAAACTGAACAAAATGACAGAACCCCATACTGTAATAAATATTCGGAATTATACAAAATGTGAAAATCAAAACAAAGCACTTGATCAAGATAGTCTAGTGAACAAGGACAAAACATTTTTAGGAACTGTAATATGTTAAACAAGCTGTCCTTAGCTTTAGGTGAACTACTCTAGGGTGAGAAAAATGTTTTCTTTGTTTAATTCATGTTAAACTTGTTTTATTGTTTAGTTAGACAGGTACATAGACAGAGCCATAGATCAATTCTGGTATCTCATTATAAGGGTATGACCTTGATACTCTTCATCAAATCTAACATATATGACCTATTTTAAATAAGTTATAGATGTACTCTTGTATAGCTACAAACCCCTCCTCTTCCCATCATTTGACTACTCATCTTATCAAACAAGGGGTGTCTACTTGGGGGGAAGGTCAAAAGGACTTATAGCTCGACTAGATTTACTCAAGTTTGCATGTTTATTCCCTGTAGGCGCAGTTTTCAGTTGAAATGGGTGCTGTGCGCCACGAAAGAGGATAGAGGATGCATAGGAGATCCTAGCAATTTGTCCTCCCAGGGATGCAGAGATGAGGTTTTATGCATACTGAAATTTGAATAAAATAATGCATTCTCATATTATGCCAGTATATGTGTATTTACATAACATTTCCGATCTTTGTTATCATTTTTTAATATGATTATGTTATTTTACTTTATTGATACCATAATTGAGTCGCACATGCATATCAGGTTTCACTATTTTGATATTCTAAATTCAATTGCACTTTGCTAAAAGAATAACTCAACCAACTGACAGCATCTCCTACTAATCAACCAGAAAACATTTATTGAAAATCACGCCAAAATATTGCACAACTTAACAATAACCAAACTACAATAGCTTTGATCGGGTTATCATCTGGAGCAATATTGAAACTTGAATTTCATTACACTCAATTTGCTTGTGACGTTAATGTTTTTGTTCATGTAATAAGGCAAGTTGGACTTTGTAATTTATGGCATTTATCAAACTCTAGTATGGGCAAATGTGGTATATATTCCTATTAAAGCTGTCAGGAACATGTGCTTATATTCAGTAAGACCTCAATACTATATGAATGAACTGTGGTTTCACTTACATACTGGTATGTGGATACAAATACAAGTTTGCTTTTTAGCATATAAGCAGGTAAACGAAGACTATTTTGATTCAAGTTGCTTTGAATCTAATTACAGTATCTTATCTTATTTCTCCCCCTTTTCTCATCCTAAGTAGAAAATATCATTTAGGTTAAGGGTAATAAGAAGCCCATTTAATGTTAAGTTGTAGATAAGGCATTAGCATGCAAAATGTTACCACCTGCCATTGGTTACAGACACCAAACACCATCCACAAAAAAGGTCTGAGACTTTAACAATATGTCAGAACTTATAGTGGTGACATAAACTACTACAATGATCCAATGAAAGGGCTCTGCAGAGCAACGACTTATTAGAAATTACTTTGGTTGACCCTGGCTGAACGATTACAAATATTCACTGTTAGTTTTTAGAGGATGCTAAAAAGCGAACTCCATATATTTTTAAAAGGGTAATGATGTAAATAAGACCAACCAAATATTCAAAATGCAATCCTTTAACAAGTGAATGCTTGTCAGAAATGGTTCACTTCCTGATGACCCCCAGTGTTTAGTTACATAGAGTGACATATCTTTACAACATTTGCTAAGCTATCATATGTTTTAATGCAGTGTTATTCTGACCTCAAATGTCAGCAGAGATCTGTCTTCTTATCTGATCAACATATTATGCATTGCTGATGTTCAACAATTATTCAATGTTGAGTGAGAATAAAAATGTTTAGTAGAAATTTTTGAAATTCTCAGGAACAAAATGATTTTGTCATACTAATGAAACTTGATTAATTTGTATGTTATTTGGGCCAGCCAATAGTGTGTTAAGATTGACAGGTGTTCACAATTTGAGGTTTTCTATAGCAGGACCGTAAAAGTGTTCACATTGAGAGGTATTCAGATTGACAGGTGCTCACAGTTTGAGGTTTTCTATAGCAGGACCATAAAAGTGTTCACATAGAGAGGTATTCAAATTTGAGAGGTGTTTGGATATAAGTTTTACTGTATATGAAGTCCCACATTGCTTAGCCGTTATTGTCTATATACCCGTCCCCATCTCTCTGATCCCACTCTTTCTCAAATCACAGACAAGCACCTCTATCATTATACATGTAATCTACTATGAACAGTTGTCTTACATTTAAGAAGTAAGAAAATTGAGCTTACTTAAAACTATGGCCTCTTTTTGGTATCTGTCTTTTTAATTTGACGTCTCCTTTGGTTTCGGAATAAAGAGCGGAATCATCCTGGGTGTGCCTCTCATTTGCTTCTGAGGTGCACTTTAGAAAAAGTCCAGATTTGGCAATTGGAGGATGCTGGGTAATTGCTGGAGGATTGTGGGAATCATTGGCTCCTCTGAAAAATACAAATAATACAACATCAATAACATTATATTTATACATACATGTACTTTCCAACAGATAAAAATGGTTATTTGATTAGGATTATGTATCGTTTACACACAATTGGACGCATTACATTAAAGTAAGGCATTCAAAGTTTAGGTTAACAGTGATTTGTGGCTTTATAGTGAAACTTTCATCTTTTTGAAAAATGGTTACAATATCTTTTGAAACAGGAAACTGTCAGACAAGTTAACCAGCTGAAATAAGTGAGCCAATCTATTGAAAACACACATGGCTTTGTTTTCCCTTGAGGGTAAAACCGTCCTCAATAACATACAATTTCCATTTCTACTAACACTGATATTGAGGGGTCTCTAATAGGTAAAACATATGATCCCATGGCCTTAGGACCTGTTCATTGTTAAACTATCATCTCTGATATATTTATGATTGATTCATATAGTGAGATATAAGGATGCTGAAACTAGGACATGTAAAGACATGGGAATATAAAACTGACTGACTTATTTTGGATTAAGTAGCACTTTTGAACAATAATTTCAAAATCCATCTAAATTAGGATCATAAACTGTGACCCCAAAATCAGAAAAATACATTTGTAATATAAAACACCAATAAAACACTTCTTATTAGCAAACAATTTAATTTAATGGCAATAACTTTCACACAAATAATATTTTCATATTTCAGTCAATTTTGTCCTTATAACACCACAAACAACCTGACATACTTAGAACAAGGCTTATAGACATGAAATATGTACAGTATTGCCCTTTTCATGCCACATTTTTTATAGGGTTGTTACAATTAATTTTACCTATTTCAAAATTAAGAATAATGCATCTGATTTTCACGCTTTTTCTCCAAAATTTTACTTCATATGTTGCTTAATCATCATTTAAAATCATCCGATGTGTTTCACTACTTGAATATAGAATCCAATCACCTTCATCTGTTATTGAAGGACCTTACCTTAATATTTATTAACAATCTATTTGACTTAGTTACTGTAAATGGTAATCGGTGTTTTGTAAGTCCATAATAACCCAAATTCAGAATATCCAACTGTCAATGCTTATTCCACATGGTTTTTCTGATTTAAATGAACTGCCTGATTTTCTTGCATTTCTGTATAATTGAGAGTGTTAACTACACCCCAGTTTACTTTATTTCATGCTCATTTCTCTTTTATCCTCACTAGTTTTATTTCAAAACACATCCCCTGTGAGATTAACTTCAAGGCAGGAGCCTAAATACCTGAGTAACTTGATTAGTGTTTGAAGTATGTGTGTGCTTAGGCCTGTATATGTATTCAAATCATTTTACTTATTAAGAGTGAAAGTAAACTGTACTGCAAGCCTTATACTAACTCCTGTAAATGATTATTTTATTATAGGCATAAAAAGGCCCTTTTTAAAATCTTAAGATTTCTTGAAAGATCTTCTGTTTTTTACAATAACGAGCCTATTCCTTTCCTGGCCATTTCAAATGAATGATGTTGAAAATTCCTAAGTCATACCTGCCATTTCATATTTCTAAAGAAAATGGGAGTCAAGATATAATTCATACATTTCTATAAATTAGTACAAATTCCTTTTTGATTGTTATTTTGAATTCTGAATTTTGATTGGTCGAACCACAACTAAGGTTGCAAATATAATACCTGCTTTATAAATATATTTTAAAATTACTAAAAGGAAATCTAAGAACCAAAATTATTTTAATTAAGTTATTTACAACAAAGAATGGTAAAATAAATGACCATATCTTACAACAGAGGATACCAAAACAGAGATGTTCTAGGACATAGGTCATGTATCAAATATTTGCTATCTAGAAAGAGAAGTACATCCAAAAAAAATGAGGCAATGCCAAAAATGTTGGCTAATATTGGTATTTTGCAATGAGAGTACTAAACTTGCCATTCTTGATATTAACTTATCTAAGAACACTTTGCAAGTTTATTGGCTCAAATATACATCAAAACAAAATAAATGACAAAAACAACATTTTAGGAAAATTAGTGTGACTTTATGACAGGTTGAAATGTTGTAAGGACAAAAGGTAAATGATATGTTTTTGAAGTGGAGGAAAGAAATGATAATGATGGCATGCTGTTTCTATGCCAACTATTTGTTATTAAATGACAGTGATAAAACATTTTGTATGACTGCTTCCTATATACTGTATACCACAGCACAAATATTTCCTTGTTCACTTTATACCTGACATTACTCTGAAACTATGAGTTCCACTTTGACGAAATACTGTTAATGATCATTTATCTCATAATCTAAAGCTGAACTAAATACATGTGAACATTAATATTCAACGCATCCATTTTCTGCCATTGTACCTACCTCAGGAAAATAATTTCTCCATTGGTCATGCTATTCCTTGTAATCCTTCTAATTTAATTTAAAACGGCTATATATTTGAGAATATCCAAAGAAAACAAGGTATAAACATACATCAATCAAACTACATTGAAAAATGTGTCCTTGGAATGAAGATCCTTGTTCATTTCCACCAACTATGTCCTCATGTAACTGTATGAAAGTACATGTACTGACTTCAGTATTTCAACCAAAAAGACGAACAGAATGATTTCCTCAGCAATCATATGAGTCCAGTTGAGTGTCTGAAGCTCTTACACCTATTATAACATCTGCACCTGTATTTGCACCTTGTTGAATACAAATCTGTACTCATTTGAACTTAAATCTGCACCCAAGCTTTCAGGGAATCACTTAAACTTGTTTGCAACAACCTGCCTCTAATTAAACCTTACCTATTGATGTTGACTGTTAAACATTTCCAAATATGGCTCATATGAAGCTATATTTCATTAATAAGGGTTAAGCCAAAAATTTGTGCATGTGATTACAATACTTTTTAAATTTGCTATATTCTTTACACTGTTGTATAGAACCCAAAATGTACTCAAAACTCCAAGTTGTATTTACCCTTAACCTGAAGTACGCGCTTGGTCGTTTTTATTTACAAATATTTTCATTCTTGAATTGCTTACTTTTGGACCTGCAAAGTTCTAATTTCAGGTGCATGTTTCAAACAATGGATATTATCGGACATTCCAGCACTTTGTAGCACTCGTTAAAATGTCAAGATTCAACCTCAACAACAAAAAAGAATCAACAGTAAATATTGAGACCTCAAAAATGTGAAGCACTTAAAAATGCTTTGTTTGTGAGTCTCCTTACACATGTAATGGGACTTTTGGTCAATTGAAGACATAAAATATATAGAACCTAAAGTATAAATAGCAACTATAGAGACCGAAGTGCAATCAAAGCTCCATGTGCTATTTACCCGGTACCCAATATACCGTTTAGTACGCACTATTTACAAATATGCTCATTCTTTGATTGTTTATTTGTGCTACTCAAAAGTTCGAATTTCAGGTGCATTTTTACAGTATATTCAAACAATCAGACATTCTAAAAGTTTGTGGCATTTGAAAGAATTTCAAGTTTTAACCAATTGAAAAGGTTTGATACCTCAAAAATGTGAAGCACTGAAATGCTTTGTTTTATATTATGAAATATTGCTAAATTTAAGAAATGAAAGAAAGATACAATTAGCACTATAGTTTTCAATTAGTTAAAACAAAAGTTAATAAAAATTGCCCAACTTATGTTGGTCCTTTTTTCATACTGAAAATTTCACTTACAATGCCCTATAAAACATATACTCGTACTACAGTAAAACCTGTATATCTATACATTTCTAATCTACCTTTTTAAACACCTTATAACCGATTACTTTTTGATTGCATAAATATTTGTATATGACACCTATAATATGAGCTCTTCAGCACTAATATTATTTACAAACATGCCGTATTTAATAAAGATACGTACCTTGAAAAATAACATTTTCAGTCCTGGTTAATCAGAAGAGCTTTTGATCGTTTAGTCTTGTATACTCATCGAAATGCTCACAAAAAGTTCATGTTAACTCTCTAAGATCCTAGGATGTTTATAAACATGCCTATCAATAGTTCTTTGTTTTGATGAACTATTTACAAAGAGCCACCTACAATCTACCTAATTTCCTGAACTAGTTCAGATTGTCCAACTAGAAGTTATCTAGGATGTTCTTACAAAATAATTCTAACAACTATGGAAATATACATCTGTTCCTTGGTACAATTCAAAAACATGTATTCTATTTTAAAAGTATTGATTAAAACTGTGATTTCTTATCTACCTGGAAATGAATTTCTATAGCATCTTCTTATGTCCTCATTTGATTTGTAATATAAAATAAGAATGACTATGCATTTACTGGGTATATAATCAAGGAAGCTCTCAGAAAGAAAAAAATATGAAGTGACTAGGTTTCAAGCGAAAAATAGAGAAGGAAAGTGAAATCAACAAGGAATAAAATAGATGTTCAAAATTATAGAATGGAAATGCAGAAAAATCAAACACAGTATTTAAGGTTTAGAGAGAAATTGAGTGGAATACACCTGACGAGTAAGGAACTTATTCAGTGTATTATCCCAAACTGGCTGTTTATCTCAAGTACCACATCCCTTGTTCTTGTATACTGAAACTGTTTAATATGAACAGCAAAACATCACAGTTTAGCCAGTCTTGCTTCAAGTTCATACTATTCTACCACTGAGAATCAAATGTTGCCCATTCCTTTTACTTTTCTAGAACACTTCATGCAAAACTTCATCACTCAGGTTTATATTCTAAGAGAATGTAACTAAGAGTCAACTTGATGAAATTACAGGTTTAAATGTACATTTACTATCAAAGTAGTCTAAAGTTCCTGTTCCTACACAGACAAACTACATAACTGTCTTATCAAAAATACCTTGCAAACAATTGAATACATTTTACCAATATCAGTTCAAATCTGAGAAATGAAGAGAAAACCATAAAAGATCATTGCAAAAAACTCAATTATGTAATTCCATAGAACAATATATTTTCTGGTTGATATTTTCAGAAAGAT